CATTGACTACGAAATGGCATTCTACTGTGTAGATCATAACAAACTATGGACCACCTCGAGAAGGGAACTCCAGATGGTTGGTTGAGCTCCTGCTGAATCCATACATGGATCACAAGGGAGTTACATGAACATAAGAAGGGCATACTAAATGGTTTAAAATAAGAAAAGGTGTTCATTAAAGAATCTGAATTATACTAATAAGAATGTGGCATCAAGATCAGAGGAAGACTTATTTAAAATCCTTACAATTGTTGATAATAGGTGAAACCACCCCTGTTCTCCAACCTATAGAAAAGAAAAAACCACTAAGAGGAATCAGAACTCAACCAAAGAGTGGAATTAACAATAACATTAATAATAATAATATAAACTGAGCTGTCCTTCCTATCACAGGGAGAAAGGGGAACCGATCACAAGGATCACACTAGAACCCCCTCCCAGGGGGACAAATAATGGAAACATGGGTGAGGAGCGATGGAGGATGGTGTAAGATATGGAACAAATAATCTATAACTTATTAAGGGTGCGTGAGGGAGGGTGGGCAAGGGAGGGAGCGGGAAGAACTGGGGAGCAGATATCAGTGGCTCAAGAGGGAAAAGAATGCTTTGAAAATGATGATGGCGGCATAAGTACAAATGTGCTTGACCCCCTCGAGGAATGTATGGATTGTGATAAGAGATTTAAGAGCCCCCAATAAAAGTATTTTTTTTAAAAAGGCATGTAATAACCACCACAGATAAGGCTTTCTTCATGACATGTAAGCTCAACGCACACAGAAGTAATTGTCAGTTTGGCAAATTGCTTTATCTCTAACACTTAGAATATTGTCTAACACATAATAGGCCATATTATTGCATGAATAAAAATTGTTCAAACTAGAGACTTTAGGTTGTAATTGGGTTCAAAGATAATTTAAATAAATAAGGCTCTTTTAACATGTGTAATACCATGTCGATGTGATAGCTAAATATAACCAGTCTTTAAAGTAATAATTTAAGGTGTTATGGAAACTAATGATTAGCCTTAGTTATCTCAATGTTCTCAAAAAAAGTAGATGTTAATACAAAGATGAAGTACTCTGAAGGCACATAGTAAGTATAGGGAATGACTCTTGATACTTTCTGCTATTTCTATGTTACTTCCAAAGATAAATGCTTATGGAATGAAAGTCTTCACTCCCCACCCCTAAATCTGTCATTGTCATATGAATTTTCATCTCTGAAAGTTTATTCTTACTAACTGTGGCTTTTTCAATATTGTGCATTCTAAATCCAAGTCACTATTTAGTTGCAACACTTCTGGGAGCCATTGTAGTCTGTGCATTATGATGCCATTTTCCTGCAAGTTTCCTTTTGATGTCTACCCTTCAAGACTGAGGGGGCCCCAGAGAGCAACAAAGCCTCTCGGAGAAAAGGCAACCTTACTAGTGAGTTGGTACATGCTCAGAGAGAAACCACACATGAAGAAATATGGGGTGGAGGTGCTTTTGGTACAAACATTCTTTTGTAGCTGGATTTATGTGTTGTTTTTTAAACTAAGCCTCATGTATTCTCAGGATACTTAGATATTATGGCACCTTGGCAGAAAATCATTTTTAAAACTTTATTGAATTTCTGATCAATGTATGTGATATTCATTATTAGGGGTCATTAAGTGATGCCCTCAGCACATAGAAAATAGGATTTGAATAGTTCTCCCTGGTTTGTACTGTGCAAATTATGAGGGAGCACAAAAAAAAAAACTGGAATTTTTTTCAAGTCTATGTATTTACATTTTTTTCAAAACAACCTATCACCTTCAAAGTACTCTTCATTATACTTAATATATTTGTCAAATCTGTGATTCCATTCTTGGAAACATTTTTTCAAACTCATCTGTTTGGGTGGCCAACAGCACCTGTCAATTTTTTCTTCACTTCTTCTACATCATCAAATTGCTGTCCTTTCCTGTCCCTCTTCATTCGCAGGAACAACAACAACAAAAAAATCACACACAGTGATGTCAGGTGAGTAAGGTATTTCGTATAAGAGAGGCATGCTGATTTTACCAAAAATTGGCACACTGAGATAGCTGTGTGAGCAGGTGAATTGTTGTAGTGGTGAAACCAGTCCTCTGTCAGACCAGGCCACAAATCAGACCTTTTTTTGTCACCTCTAAATAGAAAGTTTGATGAACAGTCTGACCTGGTGGAATGAACTCCAAATGCACTATCCCCCTCACATAAAAAAAAAAAATGATCTGGATCTTTGATTTTACTTGACAAGACCAGTAATGACCTTGGGGAAAAAGTCTGGGTCATTTTGGAGCTGTTCTTTCAAAGCATATCATGGGCATGTTTCCACTCAATGCTCTTTTTCCTAGTCAGAACCCAAGGAACAAATTTCACATGTGCATGAATTTTGTGGACATTTTCATCCATTAAGGAAGTTGACAGACATCCAGAATGAGGTTTGTCATCAATCGACATTTCACATTTTTGGAAACAAACAAACAAACAAAAACACTTGCACACTTGAATTTTTCCCATAACGCTGCCCTTGTAAGCTGTATTCAACATCACAATTTCTGTGGCATTTTTCCTGATCAGGAAACAAAATTTCACAGCCACACACACTGTTCTCTTAAATTGCCATCACAAATATTGAGGTTCAAGTGAAACTGAACCTCATGCTTTTTAAAAATCACTGTTACCAGAGAGAACCTTCCCCGGTGATGCCACTGGGTGCACTAACTCAGAGCGAGTTGATGATGCCCACCTAGCAGGTAAACCCCACTGGCCACCCTTTAGGAGAAAGATCTGGCAGTCAGTTTCCATAAAGAGATACAGCCTTGGAAACCTTCTGGGGCAGTTCTGCTCTCTGCTTTCACTGCCATCCAGGCGATTTTCACTCCTAAGATTTTATAGGACATGGTATTGCTGACCTTGTGAGTTTTTGAGACTGTAACTGCTTCTAAGGGTAGAAAACCTGTCCTTCTCCCTCACAGCAGTGGTATTTCAAACTACTGACCTTGAGATCAAAATCCAATGTATAATCACTTTGCCAGTAGGACTCCTGCTCTTTACTGTAAGATCACTATGGCAGCAGTGGCAATTGAGTTGAAGGCAGCTTACATGAGTACAAATACCTTCCACCATCCTCTATCCCCAGTAATATTCTTCTTAATTAATTTTTTAAAGACCTCAGTATTTGAAAAGCCCAAAATAAAATTTTGTTTGTTTTAATGTGGAATCCTCTATCTGTTTTATATAAATCATTTGAGTAAATAAGTTTTACATTCAAAGGTCCTTCTGCATACAGCCAAAATAATTTGCAGACTTCCTTGCCTGATTTGCATTATTTTTAAAAATCAAAAATCATTAAATACTTATAATGTTTTGGATGATTTTTTAATGAGATATTATCTCCAGTTTCTTGTATTTATGCATTTATTTATCCTATAAACAGGGAGCCAAGAGTTCAAGGGTTAAAGAAATCTATGGGGCTGACTTTCTACACTCAGAAAAGAAGTTGATGTTCAGAAGCACATTGATAAAATTTAGTTCTGAAGCAAACACCATGAAATAAGAACATAGTCCAAAATGGTGGCAGAAAAGACACAAGAGTTGCCAAGAGATGATTTCTACATAATGTCTGATGAGACTGAAAAGATAGCAAGTTGCCCTGATTTTTGTTCTTCTATTAAAACAACCACTGCAGTAATCAACTATGTAATACACATCAGAAATTTTGAGCAAAGTATCTTATATGTTTTATTTAACTTCATTTTTCTTTGAGATAAATAGATTATTATCCTCATTTACTAATGAAGAAAATGAAAGAGAATGGGGGGTTATACGTGACAAATAGCTTGCCATATGATGCCAAGCTAGGAGGTAGCAGAACCAAGACTCAAAACCATACAATTTTTCCCTGGAAACCTGAATTCTTACCCTTTGCCAATGGCATAAGCCAAAATCTCTAATTAAATTGGCAATAAACACATTTTAGTTAGTATTAAAATAATTATATATAGGTACAGGCTACAATATAACCTTATCATCGATAGTATCATCATAAAAAAGAAATTATATTCAGGATAAAAAAGCACTAATTGCCTTATGGCTCTGAAAATAGTATTGTATAACTAAATGTACTTTTAGCCAATAAAACAATGCCAACTCTTTAAAGGGTACAATATGGGGAAAATAATTTCTGTGGGTTTTGTTTTGTTTTTACATCTTAATTTGTTTATACATCTTATTTGAGCTCATTGTCTAAATAAACAAAATCCCTGTAAGTATTTTTATTGTTTTCTTTTTGTATTAACTAAAAATTCACTGCCATTGAATCAATTCAAACTCATAGTGAACCTTTTTATAGACATGACAAATTTGAGAGTCAAATTCTGGAAAATTGCCTATGGTCATACAGCTAGGTGGCAGAAATAGAGTCTGTGGTGTTAAATGGGTGTGTCAAATCCCAGGTGGGGATGCAGTGAGACCTGTCAATCAGATCACAGCCTGTTGGTACTTCCTTGAGAGTGTGGTCTTCTCACAAGAAAGACCCAAGGAATGTCCTTTTCCACTCTTCACTCTGTCTTTCTGCCTGCTGAGACCTTTTGAGAGCTGCCCAAACTCTGTCCGACTTCCACAGACCTTGGATCCACAAGACTCTGCACCCACCGGCCTGTGATCTTCCTTCATTCTGCATCATTACATGTGCCTGTGTGTGTGTCTGGAAAGGGACTTATGGACTAGTATTGGACTTATGGGCTTGAGTTGGACTGGAGTGGAATCATTTCTTGTTATATAACCACTTCTCAATACAAAACTTTTTCTTACACATATTTGAGCACCAATGGATTTGTTTATCTAGTCAACCCGAACTAACACAGAATCCAAAGCCAAATTTCAAGTCTAGTGAAGGATTAAACCCTTCAGTCATAAAATAAAAAAGATTAAAAACAATTTTTAAGTGGTTTGAAATACCTACTTAATGTTGTGTTCTTTCTTCACACAGGTCGGTACCCACAGGAAAACAAGGGCACTTACATTCCTGTTCCGGTTGTCACAGAACTACAACAGGGGAAGTGGGGGGCCAAAGTTGTCATGAAAGAAGATAGGTCCATCCGGCTGTCTGTTCAACCATCCCCGAAATGCATTGTGGGAAAGTTCCGCATGTATGTTGCTGTCTGGACGCCTTACGGCATAGTCCGCACCAGCCGGAACCCAGAAACAGACACATACATTCTCTTCAATCCTTGGTGTGAAGGTAAGGGACAGACATACATTTCTCTCATGTGTAGACAATTGTTCGCATATTTTCAACATATCTGTTTTTGGAGGGATAGCAGGATTCTGGAAGAAATTTACCTTTCCTACATACACAATTTTTTGTGATTAAAACAAGCATAGATATGTATAAGCTTTGCTCATTGTGGATGTATGAGGGTAAAACCTGTGTATATGAAGTTAATATTCTCATACATTTATTTTAGCAATTAAAGATTGCTCAAAGTTGCAGAAGTTGATTGTGGAGCTATGTGTTGATTTTATAGATCATGTGTATACTATGGCTGTTTTTGTTTTATTTTGTTTGGTTTGGTTTGTTTGAGATCAACTTGTTTGTCACTAAAGATTCCAAGTTATTTTTTTAAATCATTTTATTGGGGGCTCATACAACGCTTATCACAATCCATCCATCCATCCATGTGTCAAGCACTTTTGTACTACAATTGTTTCCCTCATTTTTCTCAAAACATTTGCTTTCTACTTGAGCCCTTGGTATCAGCTCCTCATTTTTATCTTCTCCCTTCCCACTCCCTCTCCACCATGAACCCTTTATAATTTATAAATTATTATTATTTTGTCATATTTTACAACGTCCAACATCTCCCGTCAGCCACTTCTCCACTGTCCATCCCCCAGGGAGCAGGTTATATGTAGATTCTTGTCATGGTTTGCCCTTTCTACCCCACCTCCCCTCCACCCTCCTGGTATCGCCACTCTCACCACTGGTCCTGAGGGGTTCATCTGTGCTGAATTCCCTGTTTCCAGTTCCTAATTGTGCCAGTGTACATCCTCTGGTCCAGTCAGATTTGTAAGGTAGAATGGGGATGATGATAATGGGAGGAGGAAGCACTCAAGAACTAGAAGAAAATTATATGTTTCATCGTTGCTATATTGCACCCTGATTGGCTCGTCTGCTCCCTGCGGCCCTTCTGCAAGGGGACATCCAGTCGCCCACAAATGGGCCCTGAGTCCCCACTCCACACTCCCTCTCATTCTCAATGCTATGATTTTTTTTTTCCAAGTTCAGTTTAATTTTAATTTCCTCCCCCCCTTTTTTAAAACCACTCAAATCACTAGGTTTGAGGAATAAGGAGGGATTATTATTATTATTTAGTTTTCAAAGAAACAAAGTATTTATACCTATTTACACAACCCATCTCAGGAAATGAAATTAGCAACACTATCCTACTAAGCCTTCCATATATGCGTCCTTATTTTTTTTCTTTCTCCTTCAGCCATTCCTTGCCTTCCCCTAGTCATCTAAGTTTTTCTATTGGTGTACAAGCCACTTTTCTTCTATGTTTTTCCTTATTACAATGGTGATATCAAATATTTATCTTTGCAAGAGTCACAGAGTTTTCCAAGCACAATGTTTGCTCATTGTGGCCTTGTCTTGTGGTGTTTAAGAGAGTTGTCATTGTTTTTTATTAATGCATAATATTCTATAGTATGAAGGTACCAGAGCTTATTTATCCATTTCTCTATGATTACGATTTTTGTTTCCATGTTTTGCTATTATGAGAATGACTGCAATAAACATAGGTGTGCATAAGTTTGTTCATGTTGTATTCTTGATTCCTTCAGGGTATATGAGCAGTAGAGAGATTGTGGGATCATAAGTACTTGTATTTGTATCTGCTTAAAGAAGTGCCACACTGATTTCCATAGTCACTGTACGAATCTACAGTCCTATCAGCAATGGAAAAGCATATGATCTCTATACATTCTCTCCAATATTTATAATTTTCTGTTTCATTGAATTTTGCCAAATATGTCAGTGTGAGGTGATATCTCATTGTTGTTTTAATTTGTATTTTTCTTATTGCTAATGACCTTAAACCTTTGTTCATATGATTGTTGGCCATCAGGATGCTCTCTTTAGTAAACTGTCTATTCATATCTTGTGCCTATTTTTTATTGTTATTTGCAATTTTCTTGCTAAGATGCGGTTTTCTATAGATTTTGATCTATAGAAAAGTTTATATGATGCTTTATTACTGACTATTTCTCCCAACCTGTAAGTTTTCTATCAACTCTTTTGATGAAGTCTTTCAATGTGCACACATGTCATAGTTTTAGTAGGTCCCAGTTCTTTATTTTGTCTTCTATTGTGTGGATATTTTTCACATGTTTAGTAATGTAATTATGCCTTGAATTAGGGTCCTTAAGTTGTCCATATTTTTTCATTGATGATCTTTATTATTGTGTGATTTATGTTTAGGTCTTTGATTCATCTTGATTTTGCTTTTGCACATGGTGTAAAGTATGGGTCTTGTATAACTCTTGCTGGTGAAGATTCATTTTTTTCAGTAGCATTTGTTGCAAAGGCTAGCTCTTGCCCACTTAATGTGTTTTAGTCCTTATTCAAAAAAATAAATGTCTATAGGTACTCGGTTGTATTTCTGGGTTCTCAATTCTAATCCAATGATCTTTATATCCATCGTTGTACAAGTACCAGGCTGTTTTGATTACTGTGCCTATATAATAGACTTTAAGGTCTGGGAGTGAAAGGTCTCCTACCTCGTTTTTATTTTTAATAGTGTCTTATTTGGCCTAGGTTTCTGTCTTTTCCATATATTGGTGGTTGCTTTTTTCTATTTTTTCAAATATTGTGGGATTTGGATCAGAATTACATTGAATTTCTAAAGTATTTTTGGTAATATTGGCATTTTCATAATGTTTAGTTTGTCTATCCAGGAACATAATAGCATATATCATTTGTGTAAGTTCCTTTTGATTTCTTGAAAGAGTACTTTGTAGTTTTCTTTGTATAAGTCTTTTGTTTCTCTGGTAAGATTAATTCTTAAATATTTTATCTTTGTGGTTACTTTAAATGGTATTATTCTTTTGGTATCTTAGTAACATCATCCTTAACCTACAAAAATTCAATGGATTTCAGTATGTTGACATTATACTCTGCTACACTACCAACTTTTTAAATTAGTTTGAGCAATTATTTAATTGAATCTTTGGAGACTTTTGGGATTACGTCATCTGCAAATGAAGAAATTGTATTTCTTCTGTGCCTATGTGGATACCTTTAGTGTCTTTTGAGGTCTTATGTCATTAACTAAAACTTCCAGGACTACATTCAACGAAAGTGGTTTCTGTTTGAAGAAAATATGATTTAAAATTCTTTCCATTAAATGAGATGCAGGTTATTGGTTTTCACATATACGGTTTTTATGATGTTGAGAAATTTCCCTTATATACCTATTTTATTGAGTGTTTTCATCATGATTGGATGCTGAATTTTATTAAAAACCCCTTTTCAAACACTTGATATGGTTCTTTTATTTAGTTTATGTGATAAATTACATTGATTATTTTTTATTATCAAACCATCCTTGCATGTTTTATATGAATCCTACTGGAATGTAATGTATTACTTTTTTGATGCTTAGTTGAATTCTGTTGGCTTAGATTTTATTGAAGATCTTGACATCTATATTCATTGGAGATATTGGTCTGTCATTTTCAATCCCAGTGATGTTTTTGCCTTGTTTAGATATCAGAGTCATAGATGTTTCATAAAATGAGTTTGGTATTACATTGTTCATTTGTATATTGTGGAGTAATTTATATAAAATTGTATTTAGTCTTCTGTAAATGTTTGATAGAATCCTTCATTAAATCACCCGCAATATGATTTTTATATGCCGAGCGTGTTTTTTATGACTATCTAGTTCCTCTCATGTGATAGGCTTGTTGAGGTTTTCTACATGATTCGGCAGTAATTTAGGTAAATAATGCCTTTCTAGAAACTTAATCCATTTCTTCTAGATTTGCAAACTTACTGGAATACTATTTTTCATAATATTGTGATTATACTTTTTTATCTCATTTGATTCTCTTGTAATGCCATCCATTTTATTTCTTATTCTTAGAATTTGCTTTTTCTCCTTTGTTAGGTTTGTTTTTAAAACAAAATCTTTAACTCTGACTGCATGAAAACAGAATAAAATCAACCATTTCAATCGAACTTGCTTCTCTAACTTGCTAATTCAACATCAGGATACATGAATATATAAGGATACTTTAATTTTGTTTATATGCATCTCAACCCAGCAACTGCCATGGAGTTGATTCTGATTCATAGTGACCCTATAAGACAGAGTAGACTTAATCCCCAGGATTTCTAAGACTGTAAATCTTATGGGAGCACACAGCTTCGTCATTCTCCCAGAGAGCAGCTGGTAGGTTTGAACTGCTGAGCTTGTAATCAGAAGCCTCTCACTTATCCCACAGTGCTACCAGAGTTTCTTGTATATATACACAGTAAATATGAATATCATAAGTCCTGTCTCTTAATATTCAAATACATGACTCTGTATTAATTATAATATCATATTGAAACATAGCAACCCTATTGGACAGAGTAGAACTGCCTTAGTGGGCTTCTGAGACTGTAAGTCTTTATGGAAATAGAAAACCTGATCTTTCTCCTGTAATGCAACTGGTGTTTTTGAACTGCTTACCTTGCAGTTAGCCCAAAGTAAAACCCACTATGCCATCGGGGTGCCTTTAAATTTCCTAGGAGTCAGCATTGCCTCGATGGCAGTGAGTTTGAGTTTGTTTTGCCTGTTTTTTCTTAATTAGGATATGAATTAGTGTCTATTGTGATTTTGAGTCTTCCTTTCTCTCTGCTGCAGAAACTTACCCTGGTCATCAACACTGCCAGGTTCAGCAATATTTATGACTTCAGTTAAGGTATCAGCCACACAAAGAAAGTTCTCCCCAACCCCATCTCTCCTTTTCTATCTCCATCTCCTACACTGGCTCCTATACTTGATATGGGGCCAATTTTAATTTCTAGACATACATGGATGCCAATGTTGCTTCAGCACTGATAAGACAGAGCTCAGTTTAGGGAACCAAACAGTGATAAGCTGAATAGGGTTAAATAACACTTTATGCCATTCTATTCTAATACATTTCTCTTTGTATCTTTCAAAATGAGTTCATGCTATTACTGATTAA